ACCAACCAGAAGCCGAAAAGAATCCCCTAGCGGTGACAGCGAGAAACAGTTCTGAGCCGATCGATCATCGAAGGTCTATGTTCGTATAGGGTTTAAATAAGTGCGTAAGAGTGAAGTGTAGTAACTCTTTGTGGTTGAAAATAGGGTTCACGTGTTGTTTCATCATGATCATGCAGAAAGATGTAAGAAACGAATGCACCGCTCAACTCTGTTTTGCGCGGACAGAGTGTGACCGCTCTGACGGGCAGATTCCCGGCGCTCGGCGTTTGGCGTAAGAATTATGTCGATCTTTCCGCTAGTCGCACTCTTCCACCATCATTTTAGATGAGTGCGATTAAAACATCACGTGTACCATATTTTCAGCCATCGAGAGTTACTCCAATGCAGTTATCAGGTTTGTTTCTCGCGACCACCGCCAGGGTATTATTTACGGCTTCTGCTTGGTCACATTCGAATTTCTGAAGACGCCCTGGAACACGTCCAGCCCGCTTTCGGCCAATGGCGCCTCCTCATTTGTCTCCTATACTTCCCAACGAATGGCCAAACTCTCTACATATACGGCTCTGCTCCGAGCTGGTGTGCTCTAGCTGTGGTGTATTTACAAGAAAAACGGGTTACAGAAATCAGCCCGGTTAGAACACGGCTGCATGCTGTCGCTCGGGTAGGCAGTCAGTCAGTTCACGCGATAGTCTCGCGCGCACGCTGCACGTCAAGGCACGAGCACTGCCACAGATATAACATTTCCCCCGGCGTAATTGAAGAAACCAAAGGAAAACACACATTGCACACAATGCCGAAAACCTTATGCGTCGTATCTGTCTGGAGGACGACGATGTCTTGTGGGGTAGCGCTGTTGCACAGCGGGATTGTCGGTTGCCCTCTGTGGGGTGGTTGCAAACTCACTGACCACAGGCTCGTCGACGCAGTTCTCTGGATCCCTCAGGTCGGGCAGGAAACCGTCTGATGTGGCTTGCATCGAGTTTTCACGATGATGAAGCATCTGGTCTTGGTGACGGCGCCAGATATATATGCCCCGAGCAGTCGTGACTCGAACCTGGAACGACACTGGGCCAGATTGCTTCAGAATTGTGCCGGGAATCCACTTCTGGGAGCCTCTATAGTTCCTCACGAGAACATTGTCGTTCACACTAAAAATCCTTGTTCGCGCCTTTCGCTGCGAGGTCTGGACGAACTGTTGATGTCCTACTCTTCCCCCAACGGAAGGCTTAATGGCATCGAGTCTTGTGCGAAGTCTTCTGCCTAAGAACAAACTGGCAGGTGTTTCTTTGGTCGTCGTGTGAGGGGTATTGCGGTACGTCAGAAGAAACGTTTGTACCGTCAACTCCAGGGAGTCTTGCGGTCGTCCTTTTCGGAGAGCAGACTTCAATGTCTGGACAAACGTCTCCGCGAGGCCATTAGTACTCGGGTGATAGGCCGCGCTCAAGATGTGACGGCCTCCTAGATTCTTAATAAAAGACTTGAATTCTGTTGAGACGAACTGAGGACCGTTGTCCGTAACAATGGCCTCAGGTACACCAAAACGACAAAACAAGTCCTGAAGACGTTGGATCGTGTGCTGTGATGTCGTCTTCTCCATCACATAGACCTCGGGCCACTTTGAGTGTGAATCTACGGCGACCAAAAACATCTTCTCCTTGACTGGACCCGTGAAATCCAAATGCACCCTTTGCCAGGGCGATGTCGGCCATGCCCAAGGGTGGAGGGGCGCGGGGACTGGCTCGTTCCGCTGTTGATAGCATTCTTGACATGCTTTTACTTGCTCTTCCAGGTCATTGTCAATTGAAGGCCACCAGATGTAGCTCCTGGCTAATTCTTTGCTTCTGACAATACCTGGATGACCCAGATGTATCTCTTCAAGCAGGAGATTGCGCAGTTTTGGTGGTACGACTACCCGCATGCCATACATCAGACACCCTTGATGCACAGTGAGCTCCAGACGTCTGTCAAAGAAAGGCTTCATTTCCTTGTCAGTGATGGACGATGGAGCTCACTGTGCATCAAGGGTGTCTGATGTATGGCATGCGGGTAGTCGTACCACCAAAACTGCGCAATCTCCTGCTTGAAGAGATACATCTGGGTCATCCAGGTATTGTCAGAAGCAAAGAATTAGCCAGGAGCTACATCTGGTGGCCTTCAATTGACAATGACCTGGAAGAGCAAGTAAAAGCATGTCAAGAATGCTATCAACAGCGGAACGAGCCAGTCCCCGCGCCCCTCCACCCTTGGGCATGGCCGACATCGCCCTGGCAAAGGGTGCATTTGGATTTCACGGGTCCAGTCAAGGAGAAGATGTTTTTGGTCGCCCGCAGCTGCGGACACTGCGGGCTTGGAACCGATCACCGTACCCATAAACGTTGACGGTGTGAAGCTCACAATGGAACTTGACACAGGCGCAGCAGTGTCCGTTGTCTCCTTGGCTGAATTTCGGAAGCTGTTCCCAAGAAAGCAGCTACAACCTACAACGCTGACACTTCGCACGTATACAGGAGACTTTGTGAAGCCGAAGGGTCGGGCCTTGGTCTTTGTGCAGCACAACGACCAAAGTAAGGAGCTTCCACTGTACGTCGTGGAAACCAAGGGACCGGCATTGCTTGGCAGAGAATGGCTGCGAGAAATTCGGCTAGACTGGAAGAACCTGGTCACTGTCAACAGGCTCGACACGTCGGAGAGTCTCAAACAAAAGTTGGACGCCTTGTTGGAGAACCACAGCGACCTGTTCAAAGATGAGCTTGGCACCATTTCTGGAGAACAAGCCGAACTTTTTCTTCGTCAAGGTTCACAGCCGAAGTTTCTGAAGGCTAGAAGCATTCCATTCGCACTGCAAGAAGCAGTCGAAACAGAATTGGCAAAAATGGAAAAGTTGGGAGTCATCACGCCCGTGGCTACCAGCGAGTATGCGACACCCCTTGTACCTGTAGTAAAAAAGGATGGCAGTATACGCCTCTGCGGAGATTTCAAGGCTACGCTCAATCCCTGCCTGGAGGTGGACAGGTACCCCATACCACGTATTGATGAGCTGTTGGCGGCCTTAGCTGGCGGACAAGAATTCTCAAAGATCGACCTCAGCAGGGCTTACCAACAGGTGGTTATGGCGGACAACTCAAAAAAGTTGCTAACGCTGAACACTCACAAAGGGCTGTACGCCATGAACCGTCTTGCTTTTGGCATCTCATCAGCACCAGGCATCTTCCAGAGGATAATGGATAATATGCTGAAGGGCCTGAAGGGTGTCAGCTGCTATCTCGATGACATCCTGATCACCGGAAAATCGAAGCAAGAACACCTCAGCAATCTCGAAGTCGTCTTGTCGAGATTACAAGAACGTGGTGTGCGAGTGCGGCGTGACAAGTGCTCGTTTTTTCAGCACGAACTACGTTATCTCGGCCACGTCATCAACGCTGAAGGTGTTTGCGCATCCCCTGAGAAAGTGTCTGCACTACTGAATGCTCCTGCTCCGAAAAACAAGCAGCAACTGCAGTCGTTCCTTGGGATGGTGAACTACTACGGAAAGTTCGTTCCGCAACTTTCTACGCTGGCACACCCCTTGTACAAGATGCTGAGGCAAGGAGAAGAATGGACGTGGGACGAAGTTTGCCAGTCCGCTTTTCAGAAAATCAAAGCTGCGATGACTTCCCCACCGATCTTAGTTCATTATGATCCCAAAAGACCCCTGCAGCTCGCCTGTGACGCATCGCAATACGGCATAGGCGCCGTTCTTTCTCAAGTTTCTCCGGACGGAAAAGTTCAACCTGTGGCTTACGCGTCTCGTACCTTATCGGAGGCTGAAAAGAACTACAGTCAGATTGAGAAAGAAGCACTGGCCCTGATCTTTGGAGTTAAAAAATTCCACGTGTATATTTACGGCCGTTTCTTCACCTTGATTACAGACCATAAGCCTTTGCAAACCATTTTCGGCCCGAAAACAGGTATTCCAGCAATGGCTGCTGCACGGATGCAGCGCTGGGCAGTGACGCTGTCTACGTACAGCTACTCGCTCCAGTTCAAGAAATCAAGTGACAACACTGAAGCAGACTGCTTGTCAAGATTGCCACTTGACATTGTGGCAGATGAATCTACCGAAGAAAACGAAACTTTCTATTCTATGCGTCTAGATACGCTACCTGTCACCAGCCGTGACATTGCTCGTGCCACACGCCACGACCCTTTGTTAAGCAAAGTACTCGACTTGACACACGTGGGCTGGCCATCGTCCATCACTGACAAGGAAATGAAGCCTTTCTTTGACAGACGTCTGGAGCTCACTGTGCATCAAGGGTGTCTGATGTATGGCATGCGGGTAGTCGTACCACCAAAACTGCGCAATCTCCTGCTTGAAGAGATACATCTGGGTCATCCAGGTATTGTCAGAAGCAAGGAATTAGCCAGGAGCTACATCTGGTGGCCTTCAATTGACAATGACCTGGAAGAGCAAGTGAAAGCATGTCAAGAATGCTATCAACAGCGGAACGAGCCAGTCCCCGCGCCCCTCCACCCTTGGGCATGGCCGACATCGCCCTGGCAAAGGGTGCATTTGGATTTCGCGGGTCCAGTCAAGGGGAAGATGTTTTTGGTCGCCGTAGATGCACACTCAAAGTGGCCCGAGGTCTATGTGATGGAGAAGACGACATCACAGCACACGATCCAACGTCTTCAGGACTTGTTTTGTCGTTTTGGCGTACCTGAGGCCATTGTTACGGACAACGGTCCTCAGTTCGTCTCAACAGAATTCAAGTCTTTTATTAAGAATCTAGGAGGTCGTCACATCTTGAGCGCGGCCTATCACCCGAGTACTAATGGCCTCGCGGAGAGGTTTGTCCAGACATTGAAGTCTGCTCTCCGAAAAGGACGACCGCAAGACTCCCTGGAGTTGACGGTACAAACGTTTCTTCTGACGTACCGCAATACCCCTCACACGACGACAAAAGAAACACCTGCCAGCTTGTTCTTAGGCAGAAGACTTCGCACAAGACTCGATGCCATTAAGCCTTCCGTTGGGGGAAGAGTAGGACATCAACAGTTCGTCCAGACCTCGCAGCCTTGACCGCCTGCAGAGATACCGCGTCGTGAACGGACGTCAGCGTTTTCACCTGCCTTTGTCGTTTCGATTTTGTCGGCTTCTTGTTACCCGAACGGCAGGCGCGCTGAATGTGCCCTTTCCGGTTGCACTTGAAACATGTGTCACCGACGTGGGGGCACGCATCACTGCGGTGGTTGGTCGAGCCACAACGGAAACAACTTGACTGCTCTGGTACTTGCTTGTCGATCCGCGCTTTGTGGTCGACCCGAACCTTGTGGACGTCAGGGACCGATGCACCGCTGGTGTGCGTTAACGCTGCACTTTTAGTTGCTATTTCCATCGCAAGAGCCCTCTCTACGGCTTTCTGGAAAGTCAGCTTTTTGTCTTCTGTGAAGAGGACGCGCTGCACATCTTCTCGGCGAAGGCCGCACACAAAACGGTCGCGTAGCGCCTCATCAAGAAAGCCTCCAAAATCGCAGCTCTGTGCTAGATCTCGAAGTACCGCTACGAATTCGGCGATGGACTCACTTTCTTCTTGCGAACGCCTGTAGAACTTCGCCCTTTCCGCTATGACGGATGGCTGCGGCGCAAGATGATCGCCCAGAAGCTTGAGTAACACGGTAAACGACTTTTCGGACGGTGACTGCGGGGCCGTAAGCGACTTCAACAAAGCGTACGTCTTCGGACCGATGAGACTCAAGAAGGCATGGACCTTCTTACCTTCGGGAACCTCGTTTACCAGGAGGTACGACGCCAGTCTTTCTTCATAGGAGCGCCAGTCGCTCGTCGTATCGTCGAAAGACTCGATGTGCCCGATGCGGCTCATGGTCTTCGCTGAGGGGTTGCCGCTTGATGGCCGCTCCAGGATTCCGAGGCTGGACAATCCTTGGCTCCAGTCAAGCCCCCAGCAGTCAGACGATGATCCAACCCGTGGACCCGAACATCCTCGTCGCCAATAAATGTGGTGTATTTACAAGAAAAACGGGTTACAGAAATCAGCCCGGTTAGAACACGGCTGCATGCTGTCGCTCGGGTAGGCAGTCAGTCAGTTCACGCGATAGTCTCGCGCGCACGCTGCACGTCAAGGCACGAGCACTGCCACAGATATAACACTAGCCACGGTGTAAGATACTCTTTAGGTGAGGACACGGTGGGGCTGAACGTGCGGCGCGAGGAATCAGATAGTGTTCGTTCGACGGGCATCCGAAAGGCTGCATTATTCCGCGGCCACAGTGCCCGCAGCTGACAGTGTCGCCGGCGGACAAACGGAGAAACTGTGTGAGGGCGAAAAAATGATCTCGTTGCCAAGACACCCCGGTACACCGTGATCTTTCTGCACGTGCGACAACCTCTCTGGAGCTCTGCGCGTGTGGTACATGAGGCGGCACGAGCCGTCTTGTACGTGCCCACGGATCGATGAGTCACCTGCCGGCGCCGCTTGGAACCAGGTGAGAGAGAGTGAAGAGCGAACTTTATCGGGCACGTCGCGAGGAGCGCGCTGTCCTCACCTGAAGAGTATTATCTTACACCGTGGCTCTAGCCCACTCGGCCACAGATCCTTCTTCTTTTTTTTTTATTGCACTGCACTTGGCCACCGATCCCCGTTTATTTGTCTGGACTAAAGCCCTTCGATGCGTTTGTGTTTGTCTTACAAGTGGCGTCAAATGCGCCAGTGCACGAGGCCCGTGTCTCGAGCGGCCCTTGGAAGGAGTTGTCGGCGCAGCACTGAAATGAGCGGCCCTTGGAAGCGAATGGCGGCGGACCTTCCGCTCCTCGCACGTGTCTTGCGCGTTTCCACAACAATGGTTGGCGGTACTTGTAAGCGTGAATTTTATCAAATGAATTTAGTCTGCACTTGCCGGCGAACTACGTGGACCACTACGCGTCGTGGCTGGCAGCGTCCTGAAGATCGGGTTCCGTCGGGGAGCACCGCGCAGTTAAAGTCCCCAAGGAAGCGGATCAGTTACGACCGATAAAGATGAAATCGAGCTCGCCTTTTTCCGAATATTATAGTACATTATTTGCGTCCTCTCCAGTAGATGTCGAGCTTTTCAAAGATGAATTTTTGGGTTTCATGCCGTGCATGAATGATGAAACAAAAGAATTACTAGAATCGCCTAACAGCGTAGAGGAAGTGGCCGTTGCAATAAAAGCCCTAAACCCGGGAGAGTCGGCTCTTCCGGGTACCTTAGGAGAAATTTCTCCTAAGGTACTGGGAACAGCGACGGCTGCTCACCTTTCCGCCACTGATAGCCCCTCTGGCACCCCGGAGCGAAGCAGTGGCGTTGTCGACGTCGATTCAGCGTGGCACTTCAATGAGCATAAACGACAGCAGACACGGGTAACACGGGGTAAAGAGCGGTTCAGAATGGGGGTCACTTCGAGCTGCCAAAAACGCAAGCCAACTCTCCTTGCCCAGGGCCTTCGGAACGCTCGGAAGCTGTTGGATCCTACAGCCACTACGTCCGCAGCGCCACCGCGTACATTCGGGACCTTTCCACACGCGCCGTTTCGCAGCAACGCATGGCGCGCCTCGGCGCCTGATCTCACTCCCCTCCTCTAGTTCACTTTAATTGCGCCGAAGGCTTTCGGAACACTCGGAGCCAGTCGGATCCTCGAGTCCGTAAACGACCGCAGCGCCGCCGCGTACATCCGGGACCTCTCTACGCTCGCGCTCGTGGGAACCTTATCCCACTATTCCTGAATCCTTTCTATACTCATAGTCAGAAGTCCTGTGCAGAGCTGTGGAAGCTACAGGTGGCCGCAACCAATAAGGAGGGCGAGCGCGGAATAACACATTAATACGAAGTGTTACTCCGCGACGCATTCTTGTCTGCTTGTCGTGTGCTCGCGGCAGCGGCACCCACTGTTGGAAATGCGTATGACACGATGCACTATCTGCGAGCTGCAAAAACATTAAAAACGCGTTTGAGGTTTGTCAGTGTCTTTAGTTCCTGTTTGTCACTCTAGTGTGGCTCCGGCATTAAGTAAACTAGGCTTAATAATCGGGGGAATGCCCCACCGCTTCAGTGAATCGAGCCTCCGAGGTCTGCACATGTCGGCGACATGAATGCCCCCTCCCAAGGTTATGTCGCGCGCGAAGAAGCGATAAAACGTAACGTGTCGATAAAATGTCGTTTGATTTCTAGTATAAATCGCATGTAAGTGATCTGGCGAGTGACGAAAGAAGCGACGGCGACCCGTTTCGCTGTCGCTCGGTCAGTCGCGCGACGAGGCAAGCCGCGTGAGAGCGACGGGAGCAAGCGACCAAGGCGATCAGCAACGTTTTCTAAATCCAAAAACCGAGGCATGCGACGAGTGACAAAGAGAAATCTCCGTCGCTCGTCGCTAACTCTCGTTGTTCCCGCTGTCGCTCGCTAAATCGCTTACATGCTGGTCCTAACTGCAACAGGGTATTGCTACATTTGAGCGACTGTATATGCACGTCCGTGGTGACGCTGCAACTGAGGCACTGTCGCCCACAGCTGTACTGAAGATCCCGGTAAATTGGCCTAGTTCAAAGGGCGATGCTGTTAATATTAACAAGGAATTGCAGGGTTTGGCTGTTGTCAAAACTACTTGTGTAATTGAAATAGACCCATTTGCGGCATTACTCTCGGTAGTAAAATGTGCCTGCTAAAAACGTGCCTGCCAACTCACGTTGATGTCTAGACATAACTTTATCTTATGCCACACTTGCTTTAACTTTTTGCGACTGTCGTTTTCTGAGCTGTATATGTTGTCTCGGCGTAACGTCTCGGCGTATCGTGTAAGATAATCTGTCGCGACGATAATCCACCGATTTCCTTGCGCCGATGCTGGGAACGGCCCAAGTAAATCCATTCCGACCTGCTGAAAGGGTGTAGTCGCTGCAGGCATCGGCTGCAGGAGTCCCGCTGGCTTCGTCAGAGGCCTCTTACGTCGTTGGCACTCATGGCACGACCTTGTGTACAGATGGACTGTTTTCGGGAGTCTCGGCCAGTAGTACTTGTCACGAATCCGGGCGAGCGTCCTGCTGCAGCCGAGGTGTCCAGCCGTCGGGTCGTCGTGGCATGCTTGAAAGATTTCTTCTCGCAGACTGGCCGGAACAACCAGCAGCCAGGCAGGGTTGCTCGTTCCAAAGTTCTTGAAGAGCACGCCTCGCCGCAGAACAAAGATTGATAAGTCTCGGGCCAAGACTCGCGGAACTGAACTTCCTTGACCTTCAAGGTGGTCGATCACGGCGCGAAGTTCCGGGTCGTCTCGTTGAAGTGCTCCCATGTCAGTATCTGTCCCTGCGCCGAGAAAACGGGCGTCATCGTCGTCGTCAGTGCTTTCCGGAGGAGATTCGACTGGGGCCCTAGATAAACAGTCGGCGTCGTTATGATTGCGGCGAGACTTATGCACAATGGTTTACTTCGAATTCTTGCAGTCGCAGACTCCAGCGAGCGAGGCGTCCTGACGGGTCCTTGAGGTTGGCGAGCCAACAGAGAGCGTGGTGGTCCGTGACAACGCAGAACGGGATTCCGTACAGGTACACGCGGAACTTGGTTAACGCCCAGATGACAGCTAGACATTCCTTGTCGGTCGTCGAGTAATTTTTCTCTGCCTTGAACAGTGCCCGGCTTGCGTAAGCGATCACCCTATCTGCTCCGTCCTGTCTTTGGACGAGTACCGCGCCGAGTCCGGCGTTGCTGGCGTCCATGTGAACTTCCGTTTCCGTTGATGGATCGAAGTGTCCGAGGATATGGGGCGACTGGAGTCTTTCCTTCAGTTCGTTGAACGCTTGTTCTTGCTCCTCCTCCCACTGGAAGTTCACGTCGTCCTTCGTCAAATGCGTGAGCGGTGCAGAAATCTTGGCAAAATAAAGAATGAAACGTCTGTAGTAAGCGCACAGTCCAAGAAATCTTCTTACGGCTTTCTTGTCTGATGCCTTCGGAAATTCGGCAACAGCGGATGCCTTGGCAGGATCAGGGCTTTTACCCTGAGCACTCACGACATGGCTCAGGAATTTGAGCTCGCCGTAAGCGAACCGACATTTTGACGGCTTTAGTGCCAGTCCAGCATTCTGGATAGCCTGTAGCACGTATCGCAAACGTCTCAGGTGCTCGTCGAAGTCGCTTGCGAATACCATGACGTCGTCGAGATAGACGAGGCAGCTTTGCCGTTTCAAGCCGGAAAGAACGGTGTCCATTATGCGCTGGAACGTCGCCGGTGCTGTGCACAGTCCGAACGGCATCACTTTAAATTCGTAGAGTCTGTCCAGCGTGACGAAGGCAGTCTTCTCACGATCCCGTTCGTCGACCTCGATCTGCCGGTACCCACTCATCAGGTCCATCGACGAAAAGTATCAGACATGGCGCAGCCGGTCCAGAGTGTCGTCGATGCGTGGCAGTGGGTAGACGTCCTTTTTCGTAACGGCGTTTAGTCGACGATAGTCCACGCAAAACCGAAGAGTCCCATCTTTCTTTTTCACCAGGACTACCGGTGAAGCTCACGGACTCTTTGAGGGCTGGACGATGTCGTCGTCGAGTATTTCTTGGACCTGCTTCTGGATGACTTCTTTCTCTTTCACAGATACACGATACGGCGACCGATGAACAGGAAGCGCGTCGTCATCAGTAATAATTCGATGTTTCGCAACCGTCGTTTGGCGCACCTTTGAGGACGTGGAGAAGCACTCACTGAACTCGGCGAGAAGGTCACTGAGTTGTCGTCGTCGTGGGGCAGGCAGGGTTGGATCGATGTAGAAATGCGAATGCGGCGTTGTCTTGAGTGGCCACGAAGAGAGGACCTCTGCTATTCCGGCGATTGCGGCTGGGTCCGCGAGTTCCTCGGCGTGACCCA